ACACAGGGAGGGTTGGCTTCACCCCTTCTAGTTCATAAGAGGCCAGGGAAGAAAGAGCCCACTCTCCAGGGACTAATTCTCTTCACCCTGGTCCTGCTGCCCGCTGAAGTAAAGACATGGATGATAACTCATGAGGAAACCGGGACCCAGAGAGGCAGCACCACCTGACCCTGCCAGGTCTCAGAGCAAAGCTGGGTCTTGAACTGGGACCTCCAGGGTCTGAACCCAGTGCCTCTTCCCTTCATGGGATAACCTTACATTCTAAGTGTGGGAAGACAAGTCCTCTGTCTCTTGGGACCCCCAAGTATGGCAATATGACAAGGCTTAAGAACCAAGAAGGGTCTGCTGACAACTGGGAACCCAGGGGCCCACCCTCCTCTCCCTGCTCTCTCTTGACCCACTCCCTCCACACAAACACACTCTGGGCACACGGTGACTCAGAGTGGTGGCCCTTCAGCTTGAAATGGGGGCAATTTTCTAGTGACCACGAAGCAAGTAACCGTCCGGGAATGTATGGGTCACTGTGTTTGGGGGAGGGGGGATGTCTGTGGGCCCAGCCTGCGGGGGAAGAAAGGGGGAAATGTGAGAGGACTCTCCTCCCATCTCTCCCCAGAGCTCACTTTCTCGGAAGGAATGTTCGGGCTTGGGATTCCCCCCCACCCCTTATCCCACAGCTCAGCCTGGACCCACTCGGGTCTCCCCGCCTCCCCGCACAAGCACAGATGGGAGTAGCCTGCGCGGATGGGAGGGGCAGAAGCCAGGGACAGGGGTGCAAGAGCCATGGAGCTGGCGGCCTGAAGGAAGGGGGATGCTCCAGGTCGGGAAGGGCCCTTCTCCCGCACACACGCACCCCAGCAAGCATCTGCACCCCCAGAGCTTTGCCCAGCCTGCACTGACCCCAGCGGAAGGATTAAAGGCGCGGGAGGGAGTAGGGAGAGGAACTAATACCAGTACTAATACCGCCCCGAGAATGTCACCTCTCCCCCACCAGGGTCAGAGACTCCACTGTCCCATCAGTGCGCCCACAGTAGGACTAATCGAGGAGGAGAGGAAGGAGCTGATCCTGAAAAGCGGCGAAGGGACTTAAGAATTGGAGCCTGGCCCTCCCTCTCCACCAGCCCCTCCTCGCGCGACAGGGGTGGGGCTTTGCAACAGATAAGGGTCTTGGGACACTGTGGGACCACCGTTTCTACCGCTGCCCCAGACGCGGAAGGAAATAGGAAGGTCCCAGGCCACCCTTCCCCGCTCCAGTGCCCGGCGGGCAGCTCGGGCCGGACACCCTCCTCCGGGCCAGCCAGCGTTGCTCCCGCGCCCTCCCGGCCCCGCTAGCAGAGGCTCGCAGCCTCCTCCCATTGGCCAGGAGCTCTGCGGCTCTGGCCAATGAGCAGGCCGGATTCCGGCGGGGGTGCCCCGCCCCCCTCGAGCGCGCCGGAGTTAACTATTTGTGGGCCGCGCGCAATAGACAGAATTCGGATCGGTCTCTAAAATGCCTAGGGGACGTGCAGCTGAGCCCGGACGCCCAGAGAAGGTGCAGCCGAGACGGGGGATAGGTGGACATGGATGAGCCGGAGAGCTCGGGACCTCTCCTGCAAGAGTGTGTGCAGCCGACGCCGGCTCCGCGTGGCAGCCGGGGAGCTTATATTGGCACGACTGTAGGAAAAAGACTTTAATGAGGAGGGAAACAAATCATAATGTTTCCCTCTCTGGCTTCCCACCCCCGTTGCCTGGAAAGGCACCCCCGTAGAACGCTCACCCCGAGTAAAACCCTATCCCCTTCAGAACGTTGATGCACAACCCTCTTCCCTTTCTGGACGCTTGGCCTCTGGCCTCTCTCTACCCCGCCTGCCCACCGCCCCCAATTTCCCTGAACAATCTAAACTGAACTTTTTGTGTGTGAACACGGAAAAGGGCTGGATGGGGAGGTCTGAAGTCTCTCGAGGGGGCTTTCCAGGAATTGGGGAAGGTGGTTGCAGAAGTAAACACCACACCGCCCCCAGAACGATGCTGAACCCTACCCTTAACGTTACCAACTTGCTCTTTGACCCTAGATAGATGGCTTTCCCTCTCTGAACCTGTTTTCTCATTAACAAATGCAAGGGATGGGTGCCAGGAGTGGTGGCACATGCCTGTAATTCCAGCTACTGGGGAGGCTGAGGCAGGATTGCAAGTTCGAGGCCAACCTCAGCAACTAAGTTAGACCTGTCTCATAAAAGAGCAAGTGGGGAGGGGCTGGGGATGTTGGCTCAGTGGCTGTGCACCTCTTCAATTGCCAGTTCCAAAATAATAATAATAAGAGGAAGAAGAAGAAATGTGAGGAATGGGATGAGATTTCTCAGGTCCCTTCTGTCTCTAAATCTCGTAACTGCTGAGCTGCTAAGAGGTCAGGCACCATATGAAAGTAGGGCTACCAAACCCTCAAAGGGGAGACCCTGACAGCAGTGCTCCCCTGAGAAGCAGGTGGGCCTGGGGGTATTGGACTTGTCCACCATCCACCTAACACCTAAGGAAGCCCTAAACAAGGAGGACTGGGGCCTCTGAGTGGCCTCCACCCCAAAACTGCCTGGCCCTTGGCCGCCCTTCTCTTCACTTGGCACCCACTGCTCTGGAAGCTCCGTCCTGCTGGGCTTTGGCTGCTGTTCTAGCAGGTGGGGGTGGGGGCTTCTCACTTCCCTCAGTAGATTCCAGTGGGCACTGCAAAAGGGTCTCTGAAGGCCTGGAGCCAAGGCCTTCACGGACCTGTGCCCAGACTGGAGGAAACTCTGTCCTCTCTCAGGCCCCCGGGAAGGGGCTTGGCAAACCCTTATCTGCTGAGAAGCAGCTGCTGGAGAAATACCTAAGCAGCTGACTCACACTCTCCCCCTCTCACAAACCCTTCTCTCTGGGGCCCCAAAGGCCTGTGAGAGACCCTGAGGGGCGGGCTATGAGGAAGCACCCTGCTGGGCTGATCCTGCCTTGGATGTCCCTCTCTGGCTCTGGCTGACTGGGTGGTTGGAGGGCAGAGGGTTATATCCCATAAAGGGCTTCTGTCTGGGATCACAGTTACTCTTGTTCACCAGAGACCTCTGACGTCCTGGTCCTGCTGCACTCCAGGAATAGATGGACAGTTGCTATCCTGCTCTTTGGGATTCCAGGCCCTGTTCCTCCACCAGGATGTAATGAGGGTCTAACAGGTGAACAAGACAGAGACCTGTCCAACAGGCAATTACCAAAGAGAGGAAGAAGGGTGGTGTTTGGGGAAGGGCTGGACAGTGAGGGACTGTGGACACTTCCCTGTTCTACTTAGCTCCTTGGGCCTCTGCTCCCTGTCTGTCAAATACAGAGATGCATCTTCTGTATCTCACTGGGTCATTGTGAGGATTAAACGAAATGATGCGTATGACAGCAGCTTGGAAGGTTAAAACCACAACAGAAATGCAGGATGATGATTATGATTATGATTTCCGGCAGACTGGAAGTGGGAGGTACCTACCATTGGGGTTTCTGAACCCATTTTGTCCTGGATTCTCTTATCATGCTTGTTTAAAGAGTAAGACAAAATCACCTCCCAGTTTGGGTTGCAAGCTCAGCCCAGGTCCAGTTCTCATAATAATAACAAATCAAATACCTGCTACATATATACAAGTTTTCTGTATATATGTAGCAGGTATTTGATTTGTATCATTATGAGAACTATAGCCCTTATCATTCATTATCTTAAGAGATGAGAACTGAACCTTTAACAAGTATTTGGTCCTCCTGACAACGCTGTGAGGCAGGAACTATTATTTTCCCCTTAGGGGTAAGGAAATTTCTTGGTTTTGTTTTTATCCCCCCCCCCAACCCGTTTGTTTTTTAACCAGGGATTGAACCGAGGGATGCTTAACCACTGAGCCACATCCCTATTTTATTTATAGACAGGGTCTTGCTGAGTTGCTTAGGGTCTCACTAAGTTGCTAAGGCTGGCTTTGAACCCAAGATCCTCCTGCCTCAGTCTTTGGGATTACAGGTGTGTGCCACTGCATCGGGCTGGTTAAGAAATTCAGGCACAGAGAAGTTAGGACACTTAACAAATAGAAAGCAAGACTCCTCATCCCTTGTTCCTCCCCGATGGACTCAGGGGGCCTTGAACCTTCTTCTCAGACAGAAGCCTTCTCTACGTATCCCTGCTGGATTGGAACGGGCTTCTTATAGTCCAGGCCACAAAAAGCCAGTGACTCTGTACCTTAAGCCAATCCCTTGACACCAGCCATTAATCCAGGGTCTAAGCAACCAACACCCTCCCTCTTCCAACATACCAGCAAATATTTTCATTCAATAAATAATGAATGAACAAAAAGTACTTTTTTTCCCCATGAACTACTTGGGACTGAATCTGGTGCCCTACCCCTGAGCTACATCCCCAAAACTTTTTATTTTTATTTTGGTACAGGGTCTCCCTAAGTTCCCCAGGCTGGCCTCAAACTTGTGACCCTCCTGCCTCAGTCTCCCAAAGCTCTAGGATAGTGGCATGTGCCACTGTGTCTAGCAATAGCAACAATTCTTTACACATTTATAGTTTTTCTTTTGAGTCAGGGGTCTTGCTATGTTGCTGGGGCTGGTCTCTAACCTCTAGGTTCAAGCAAACTTCCTGCCTTAGTCTCCCAAGTTGCTGGGACTATAGGCTCTGGCCAGTGAACTGTACTTTCCTTAGAGAGAAAAAAAAGCTTATAAGCACCTACTATGTGTCAGCCTCTGGAGTGATTTATCAGTGACACTATTTAGCATTTGTTGAGCAATTACTATGTGCCAGGGGCTATCCTAAGGCTTTACATGTATTAACTGTTTTTATCTTCATAACAATTTTAGTGGGTAAAAACTACTATGGACCCCTCTGTACCGATAAGGAAATAAAACAGAGAGGTTAATTAACTTTCCCCAGCTCATGGAAACCAAGATTTTATCAGATATTTTTGTTTCTAAGGAATATATTTTACATCATTATCAAGCACACACACACAGAGACACACACACATAAACGGAGATAAAATTGTCAACAGGTATTTAATTGTTTTGTGTGCCATGTGCTCTGATATTTTTTACTCTTTTGTTCAGTTGTATTATTTTTCTTAAATTCTGGTTAGAAATACTCCAGGTTCTCACTTACATGTGAAAGTTTAAAAAGTTGGTCTCACAGAAATAATGAGTCTAATAATAGTTCCCAGAGGCTGGGACCGTGCAGAGAGGGTTTGGGGAAAGAGTGGTTAACGGGTACAGGGGTGCAGTTGGAAAGGACAAGTCACTCTAATGTCCTGCACCACAACAGGGTAAGGTGTGGTTGACCACAGTTAATTGTATATTTCAAAATAGAAAAAAAAAAAAGAGGATTCTGAATGTTCCTAACACAAAGAAATTATAAATGTTTGAGGTGATAAATATACCAATTACCCTGATCAAGTCATTACATGTAATGATACATGTACACCGTGTACATGTACTGAAATGTCACCCTGTACCCCATAAATATGGAAAATTATTATGTGTCAAGTAAAAATCTTTAAAAATATATTTTTAAAATTCTGGTCATGACCCACTAAGTTGATTTCATAACCTATTAATGAGTCACAGCTCTGAGTCATAGCTACAAGTACCCAGGGATTCGAACCTGAGCACTAGGGCTCCAGAGCCTCATCTCCTGGTATGAAGAGTGGCTTGGGAAAGGGAGACTCTGGAGGCATGAGGACAGATGGGGACTACGCTGATGAAGGGACTGGAGGCCTCGAGAATCCCACCAGCCTGTGTCATCCTCTCCCGACATGCCTGCAAAACACAATGCAATGTCACTAGGTTGCCTTAGGGATGCACACTTGCTCAGTTCTCCTAGAAACCGACTCAGGCAGTTTAAGTGATGTGTCAAGGTCACAGCCCAGAGTCCTGTTGCCTGGACCCATGCAGAACTCCCCCTTCAGAATGAAGCTGGTGAGGACCCCGGTGACCCAGGTGACTGGTGACAGTGGTAATGACATTGAGAAAAATGAACAGACCCAGTCATGGTGTGGTCCTGGGGAGGTCGGTGGCAGCGATGGTGGTTTTCATGGTGGGGGTACAGCACAGGGAGGTGACCACACCACAGCAGGACCTGCGCTCGGTTCCCAAGCCAAGCTGAGTCCCCTCTCCTCTCCTCTCCTCCCTCCAGCACTTTCCAGAGCACCTGGACCACTTTGTGGAGAACATGGAGGACTTCTCCAATGACCTGTTCAGCAGTTTCTTTGATGACCCTGTGCTGGACGAGAAGAGCCCCCTGCTGGACATGGAACTGGACTCCCCGGCACCGGGCATCCAGGCTGAGCACAGCTACTCCCTGAGTGGGGACTCGGCACCTCAGAGCCCCCTCGTGCCCATTAAGATGGAGGACACCACTCAGGGTAAGAGGCGGAGGGCCCAGGGACAGGGCAGGTCCGCCAGGCCCAGGAGGGCGGGGCCTCTGAGCAACAGGAGGGAGTGGCTTCGGCCTGAGACCCCAGAGGAGCCACCCACCCACACCTCAGCAGGTGCACCTCCCTGCTTTTGGGGTCCTCCATAATCAAACCTTTATGGCTGCTTCTCAAAAGGAATTTTGCTGACTTAGTTCAAAAACCAGTTCACAAAGCTTGGTTCCTAGACCTGCAGCGTCACCTGAGGACCTGTTAGGAGCAAATCCTTGGCTCCCAGCCCAGCCCTGCCCAGCCACGCCAGGGCCGGGTCCAGCTTCCCAGAGTCTTGTTGGGATTGAGAATCACTGACTTAGAACAACAGTGGAGGCAATTAAATAATTCATGTAGACAAGAAGTTTCTAGAACTTTTTTCGCCTCCTCCTACTGAGATGTCCCTCTGAGCTGCTACCTGGGAGGCCCTGTACCCGGCTTTTAATCCTGAAGGTGGGCTCTCCAAACTCCCCTCTCCCCTGACTTCCTGTCTTAAAGCAGAGGGCTTTGGAGTCCTTCCACTCTGGTAGTCAGTCAAGACTCTCGCACCGTGTCCATCTGGAAACACGGTCCTTCAATCATCCCCTCAAGTGCACGTGGGCCTGGCTCTGTCCATTTTGGCTGAGTGATGGCGGATACCTCCCTTAACCTAGAAGCCTCAGTAGTTTCATTTAGCAGTGGGAATAACGGTGAACATTCTGAGAGCATCCTCCAGTATATAAAGTGCCTCCAAGTTCATTATCTCTTTTAAGTCTCACAACGGACAAGAATGAGGCAAGAATCACTTTTATCATCATCCCCATTTGACGTGTAAGAAAGATGAGACTTCATGAAAATGGAATTGTCTAGGTCATGCACACACTAAGATGCGAATGGAGACTCACAAGTCAGCCCCCCAATTCTATGCCTCACCCACTTCCACCACTACTGCCAGCCTCAAAGGCAGCAAGAGCGAATGGGTTAGGAGCCCAACAGGATTTGCTGTGCATTCCAGTACGTTCACTGGCTGCTGGGTGACCTCAAGCAACTTTTTTAACCTCTCTGGGCCCCTGTTTCCTCAATTGTAAAATGAAAATAATATGTACTTGAAAGTTCTGGACAAATTAAAAAACATGCACATAAAGTACCCACTCAGGGCTCAGCATATAATATATATTAGTAATCAGGGCTATTTTCCCTGTACCTATCAGGGTCCTGTTAATACCATGAGTGGCTAAAACAATGAAAAGTGTTCTTGCTCCTCTTCGCCTTCAGAGGACCTTGGCCTTGAGTGAGTTTCTTAACTGTCTCCTCTGATTCACGTCCTCAGCAGCGGGAGAACAGCAGAGCCTGCCCTGTGGAGTTTGGGGAAGAGGAGTAAGGTCATGAGCTGACTCCTCATGCCCCACGAGGGCAGGAGCACTTGCTAGGGGTTTACGTGGCTCTAGGGCTCATGTTGCTGAGGTCCCAGCTGGTCACTGTGCCCTGGCCTTAGGCACATCTTGGAGCCTCCGTGAGGTCTCAGGCCCCTGCCTGGGGAAGGGCAGAGGTGTGGGGTGGACCCCCTCCCTTGACAGGTTCTCCGTCCACCCCTGCTGGTCCTGCCCCACACCTCCTTGGCCACCCCAAGTCTATTTTTAAAGCAATTTGTCTGTGGGCCCTTTACGGGGACAGCTTCCCGGAGCCCAGCAGCCTGGCCCTGTAATTTGGGAAGATTGTGGGTGTTCCTGGAGCCTAGGGGCAGCCTGTGGCCTAGAGATGGGGCTCTCAGGCTCCCAGCAGGGTGGGGCCTGGCCTCTGAGGTGGTCTCCAGGAGCTGCTGACCCCTCTCCCCACCCACAGTGGGCCACAAAGTCCAGAGTCCCCTCCAGCCCTTCCCTGCATGTGGCTCCCCATCCCCCTGCCTCACGCTGCTTCTCTGGCCGCCAGGCTCTGGGGCCACCCTTATGGTGGCTGACTTGGGGTGGAGGACTGTGGGAAAGGGTGATGGCCACCAGCCCCAGGGCCCAAGTGAGACCAGAAGACCCACTCGATGGGCAGGAGGTGGACTCTGCCCTTTGGGAAACCTGAGTATCTCCCCCTAGATCTGTGGATTCTTTCTCCTCCATGTGTTTCTAGTAGGTTCTTCCCTCTCGGTTCTCACGGCCATTGCTTTTCTTCAGCCCTCCTCCTCTCTTGCCTGGGCGATATATTTCAGCAGCTTCCCATGGGTCTCCTTGCCTCCACCTGCCTGTAGCCAGTCCTGTCCCCACACGTGGGCAGAGCACTCCTTTTCAACATCACCAATTCTAGCATGTTTGAAACGCTTCCATGGCTTCCTGTCACCTTTGGATAAAGTCACAGGTCTGGGCTCAGTCTCAAGGGCATGCCACCCGCGGACCTCCCTGCCTCCACGTCCCTGGGTAGGCCAGCTACACTAAGCTGCTTGAGGCTCTTGCTAGATCCCCCGCACCTGGCACAGTGCTCAGCAAATGTTTACTGGATAACAGTAATTATTTTATTACGAGCTTCCATTTACAGATCATTTTTTTCTCATCAGGTACTGTGTTATGTTTTTGATGTGCATTATATTATTTAATCCTCAAAACCTACCTGTTAGGTGTATCCTCTTCCTTTCCCCTTTTAAAGAGGAAGCGGAAACTCAGAGAGGGTAAGCAACTTGCCTAAGGTCACAGCACAGCCACTCAGGAGGGATCCAAGTCCCCAGGCTCAAGCCCATTCTGTCAGCTGCCAAAGATATGCTCACCTTTTCTGGCCCTGGGCCATCCTGCCCTCTCACCTCACAAGGGCCCCCACTTTTCCTGCCCACCTTCTGGTGTCCCCTGTATCACTCCTCAGTCCAGCCCTGTGCAGCTCCCAGCAGGCAGGAGGGGGCTGGGCCCTCTACTCTGGGAGTTGCCTGAGCCTGGATCCTGCCCTCTCCCCCAGATGTGGAACATGGAGCCTGGGCGCTGGGACACAAGCTGTGCTCCATCATGGTGAAGCAGGAGCAGAGCCCTGAGCTGCCCGTGGACCCCCTGGCTGCCTCCTCAGCCATGGCCGCTGCTGCCGCCATGGCCACCACCCCGCTGCTGGGCCTCAGCCCCCTGTCCAGGCTGCCCATCCCCCACCAGGTGAGCCCAGGGACAATGGTGAGGGCTGAGGGAGGGGGAGGGCTGGTGGGTCTGTGGAAGAGGTGCCAAAGTGAGATGCCCGCACCCCAGGACTCTGAACAGGCCAGAGTGTGAACCTCAGGCCTGAGGGTCAGAAGTCATAGGCCCGGCTCTGCCTCCCCCTCGGGCTGCTCCTTCACCATCCTACAGTGGGTACAAACTCTTGGAGGAAGCTGAGAGCATGCAGGGAAGCAGGCAGTAGACCAGGGTCTCAGAGAGGGGGTCAGCCCAGGCCCCACCTTCTCTCAGAGTTTCAGGATTTTTAAAAAGAAGGCAAAACCGAATGTAAATACAAAAATGTGCTGTGTTTCTATTTCAATAGCGGATATCTATGAGATTAATGAAGCACACTCTCACGCCAAACCCCACCTCCACTTCCCTGAATCTGTAGATAAGGGCCTTCAGCTGGAAATCCAAGACCCTCCCTGGAATGTGCGGCCCAGAACACTGGCTGCCGGGAGAGGCCCTGCCTGGGTCCCGCTCTGCTCCTGACTCTGCTCTGGGCACATTGCATTCCCTCTTTCTTCCTCAGCTTCTTTCTCTGTACAATGGGTGCATGAACCCCCTGAAGTGCTCGTGAGCTACAGTATCATGACCGGTTTCTGCTGGCTGCAGACCCAGTGGAGAGAGGTGCTCCCCAAATCTAGCACCTAACACCACGCCTTCCTCACAGAGACCCCCGCTGGCGTGTGTGCGCTGGTAGTCACAGGTGTGCTGCCACGTGTGTTCCTGAGTCCTCTCTGGAACAAGTTTGTAATAGAAATGAACAGAAGTGCATGTTTGTTAAGAATGCAAATCTGGTCCCATCAGTTCCCTGTGTGAACCCCTGAGGGGCTCTCCTTGCTTCCCTTAGGTGTCACCTGGCTTTTCCAAGCAGGAGAACCTGCCTGTTTCCTCTGGTCTGTGCATGGAACCCCAAGTGCAGCCCCTTCCTGGGCTGTGCAGGGGCGACCACCAGCCTCAGGGAGGGAGGGATGGCAGTGCACACAGGGTGGGAACCACCCCAGGGACAGCTCATGGACTGGACCTGCCTCTTTCTCAGGCCCCAGGAGAGATGACTCAGCTGCCAGTGATCAAAGCCGAGCCCCAGGAGGCAAGCCAGTTCCTCAAAGTGACACCGGGTAAGTGTGTCCAGGGATGCTTTTCTCCTCCAGCCCACTCCTGCCCCTTGAGTCCCCACTTTACCTAAATACCCTCTCCTTCCCACCTTACCTACCCCTGTCCATCCACGTCCCCTCCTTACCTACCCCTGTCCATCCACGTTCCCTCCTCTCCTTCCAGCCCTCCCTGCTCAGTTAACCACTGCCGTCACCTTCCTGCTGATCCTGCTTTTCATCCGCTCACTAACCAAAGCCACTCCACAGCCACCCATCACCCTCCAGCCAACCGTCCGTCTGTCGGTCCATTCATTCATGCAACAAGTGTCCACTGGGCAGCATCTCCCAGTCCCAGTACTGGAAGAGCAGAGAATGAAGACAGTCCCTGTACTCAAGTAAACCACCGAGTTCCCAGGGTCACAGACAAATACCCAGCACCCAGCAGTGACATTGGGGGTACACATGGCACATTCCTGGGGAGCTCTGGGAGTTCATCCCCAGACCAGAATGGGGAGAGGGGACCTAGAAGAAAGAGTAATGGAACCTTCCCAATCCCAGCTTATTTACAGGTCAAACACTGAATTAGGTAGAATCTACCGTGTAGCAGACTAAGTACCACAAGGTCAAGAAAATAAATGGTGCGCTGAAGTCCAGTGCTCTGAGCAGCCTGGCATCCATGAAGAGCAAACAAGTGTTAAAGGAGGGGAAATCCGGAGGAGCCAGGCCTGGGCCAAGCCCTGGGGACCGCAGGTGCCTCCTCCCGGGCCTGGCCCTGCACTGCAGGGTGAGCCAGGTCTCCACGCCTGGGATTGCCGGCATTTCAGGCTGTCCCAGGGGCTCGTCCAGCATCTAGGCTCTTGGTCTTACGGCTGAGATCAAGGGCCTAGCACCCCACTTCTCTCAGTGTCAGGGCTGGCGCCAGCCCCTGCTGACATGACCTCAGCACGTCAGAGCAGAGCTGGGCACAGCCCTGCTAACCTGGCTCCCCCTGCTCTTTCCAGAGGACCTGGTTCAGATGCCGCCGACGCCCCCCAGCAGCCACGGCAGTGACAGCGATGGCTCCCAGAGTCCCCGCTCTTTGCCCCCCTCCAGTCCTGTCCGGCCCATGGCCCGCTCCTCCACAGCCATCTCCACCTCTCCCCTCCTCACCGCCCCACACGTAAGGAGCTGGGCGTGGGCTGACCCTGGAGGCCAGGAACTGAGCCCGTCCACCCTGGCCAGTGGGGAGGGTTGGGGAGCCTCAAGTCTGATCCTACCCCATCAGAGTTCAGAGAGGTTCCTGCCTGGCAGAAGAGAAGGAGAACCTTCCAACCTGCCTCGTGGTGAATAGGAAGCAGAGGTGGAGGGATGGGGTCCTAGAGGCCACCCTAAACCCACACTGTTGAAGAGCCAGGACTAGGCCAGGACGAGAATTTGACATTCCTGGGCTCCTCCAGAGGACGACCTCGCCTACCTCCAAGAAGCACAGTCTGGTGACAACATGGAGCCAGGCCCTGAGTGTGGAGATTCCCAAGTTGAGACTGTGTGGAGGAAGCCTGTTGGGGTCCTTTGGGTGCCTCGCACAAGTGAGCTTTGATTCTATGAATTCTGGGGGGCATTCAGGAAGGCCTCCCCCACTATGTCCTGAGGGCCTGACGTGCTGGGCTCCTGGCCCCATCTTAGCACTTGATACGTACAGCTGGACTTAACTCAGGGCCACCTCCTGTTCAGATGAGGAAACTGAGGTTCCGAGTGGTGAGCATACAGATAGGACCTGGCAGAGCTGGAGTTTGGACGCAGGGCCGTTTGGGTCCTAATCACCACGTTCTACTCCCTACAGAAGCTACAGGGGACATCAGGACCACTGCTCCTGACAGAAGAGGAGAAGCGTACCCTCATTGCTGAGGGCTACCCCATCCCCACGAAACTCCCCCTCACCAAAGCGGAGGAGAAGGCCTTGAAGAGGGTCCGGAGAAAAATCAAGAACAAGGTAAAGCCCGAGCCATCCTCTGGCCCTACCCTGGGGACTTAAAGGTCTTCCCAGTGGGTGGGTGAGGGCCTCTGCTCCCCTAGTGATGTCAGCCCCCAGATTGGGGGTCCCCCAGGAAATGGATGTGCAGCATTGGTAACCCCTGTTTTGGGGCCTCCCCCTCCAGATCTCGGCCCAGGAGAGCCGCCGTAAGAAGAAGGAATACGTGGAGTGTCTAGAAAAGAAGTAAGTGTCCTGAAGGGGTAGGCTGGGGCTCCCTCCCCAGCCTGGCCTGCTCTCCCCAGTCCTCCCTCATGGGGTGCCAGAGGCAGGTGGCACCAGAGTGGCATGGTGGTGGTCAGGGCTGGGGTCAGCTGCCCTGAGCCATGCCTGCTTGGTCCCTCCAGGGTGGAGACATTTACATCAGAGAACAACGAACTGTGGAAGAAGGTGGAGACCCTGGAGAATGCCAACAGGTGGGTGTTGCCACCTGCACCCACGCGGCCCCCTGAAGCCCAGGCCTGGCTTTCCGCAGCCCTGGGAGACGTAGAGGGGAGAGATAAGGCGTGTAGTCCTCAAAACAGACCCTGCCACCTGGGACCCCACGTCCTGCCAGGCTTCTTCACCCACATATAACTAGACACCGGAGGGGCTGGGGAGCCACTGAGTGAGACCTGTAGAGCAGAAGTTTTCCAAGCAGATCCTCAGACCAGTCCCATCAGCAGTCTCCAGAAATGTGTTAGAAGTGATTATTCTTGGGCCCCAAGTCAGTTTGGGAACCTTGCTACTCAAAGCCGTTTCCCTGGACGGGCCACATGGGCGTCGCTTGGGAATTTGTAAGAAAAGCAGAATTTCAGACTCTCCCCAGACTTGCTGAGCCCAAATCTGCGTTTGAACAAGAACTTTGGGTGCATCTTATACTTACTGGAGTCTGAGAAACATGAGTGTCCCAAGACTACCATAGTGCCTGGCACACAGCAGGAAGCCACAGGTCTGGGTTCTTGCCCCACTCTGCCATTGTTGTGACTCCGGGGAAATTCTGAGACCTCTCTGGGCTGCAGTTTCTTGTCTCTAGGAGGAAGGCAGAAGCACTGTCTCATAGGATTTATGTAAGGATTCTATGAAATAATGCAGCTCCTCCCTAGCATGGTGCCTGGCATTTAAGGATGATTGGTTCATGTGACTTTTCTTCTTTTATTTTAATTATTCTGAATTCTTCGTAGCGCCCTGCTGCAAGCACAGGGAGATCTTAAATTATTTGGTGGGAGTAATTACCATATCAGACAATGGCCTGGTATACAGTAGGAGCTCAATACAAGACTTTTACCTCCTTCCTTCCCTTCTTCTGTCCCAACTTGTCCTGGGGGCCCAGCCAGTCCCCTGATTGGCCTGGAGAATCACCCTCTTCTCCCAATCCCCTGCAGTCAGGGCAGGGGCAGGCACCCTAAACCTTACCCACCTTGGGTCTCCACCTTGGACCCAAAATAGGGACAGGCCCTTGGTGCTATTTCGCCACCTGCTGTTCACCCTGGGGACTGCACCAGACTAGGGGGAGGAAGATTAACCATTTGTTTACCCTTTGTGTGTACCTAGAGGACTCCAGCTGGGTGGGAGCCCACAATAGTAATGAGGACAAAGTGTTACAGCTGTTGTGGTAACAGCAAAAAAAAGCAATAAGAGGAGCATAAACAATAGCCATCAGGTACTGGCCGCCTTCATCCGGGCACTGTGCCAAACACGTCCTCATCAGCTCAGAGTGCTGTGGGGTGCGCAGGAGGGAAGGCCAGTGTGTCTGGGGCTGTGGTAGGCTAAGAAAAAGAAGGATGGCCACCCTCCCACTCCCACCTTAGCCAAGAGTGGCCCAGGGTAGCCCTGAGCCTCCTTAGGGTGACCCACACCACGAGGCAGGCCCCAGGTGCTCAAGCCACACTACAGAGGAGTCCCCTAGGAGAGCTCCAGGAGGCAGAAACGGCTGCCAGGCCCCAGCCTGCCTGGTGACCACTGTGCCCTCCTCAGGACCCTGCTCCAGCAGCTGCAGAAACTCCAGACTCTGGTCACCAGCAAGATCTCCAGACCTTACAAGATGGCCGCCACCCAGACGGGGACCTGCCTCATGGTAGGTAGTGTTTCCCCAGCACAGGGTCGCGGGAGGACAACTCTTCCCTGGGATGGCTTTCTAGGAGGGTGGGCAGAGTTTTGAAGAATTCTTGGCATTGTGGGTGATGGTCACTGGGATAAAGTGCCTTGTGCCCTGTGGGCTGGCCCCCAGCAGGCCCTGGCTGGCTTCACTGAACCCACGGAGCCAGGCGCCACGGGAGCTCCCCTGACCCGTTCTAGCGTGGCGTGGATGTGCAGGTGACATCCAACTGAACCCCGCCAGGGGCAGGCCCGTCAGGGAGGTGGCTTCTGCAGAACCCACACAGTGAAGGCATTAGGGAGGCGCAGGGAGTATGAAGTGGTTCTTTCTGGAAGGGTTGGTGAAGAGGCAGAGAAAATTCCTAGAAACCCGAAAGGGCACCAGAGAGTGGCCCGGTCTCTGCTCACCCCCTTCCATCCACTCCTTGAAACCTGCAGCCTGGGCCGCCCTGCTCAGCACACGGACCCGTGACACCCTGGGGGCAGTGGTCAGCCGGGGTCCTGACTCAGCTCCTCCTGATGGCATATGTCCCCCTCCCCATAGATGGAGCCATGGAGCACAGCCAACCCCACCCACCTCCACTTCCCCTTCTTCCTCTCCTGACTTCTCCCACTTAGTGCTGATAACCACGTGGCCACCTCCCCCCACTCTTTTTCTAGTGCTGTCAGCAGTGCACCCTACGATGGCCTGGGGTGGCCTGAGCAGCCCCACCTGCTCCAGAGAGGGCGGGAGACCCCACACCAAGGGGTTGGTCAGCTCTGGGAGCTGCTTTTGTGGGAAAACTGGTTTGGGGGAGAAGCACTAGGGGTGGCCACCACGCCTTGCTGCCCACCCTTGCCCCAGGCCTGACGGCTGCTCTCTGGGTGCCCAGGTGGCGGCCCTGTGCTTCGTGCTGGTGCTGGGCTCCCTCGTGCCTTGCCTTCCTGAGTTCTCCTCCAGCTCCCAGACTGTGAAGGAGGACCCTGTGGCCACTGACAGCGCCTACACAGCCAGTCAAAGTGAGTACCTCCCGGAGCCGGGCGCCCGCCCCAACTTCTGGGCACAAGCCAGATACGAGAGAGGAGCCGTGTTTGGGTCTGGCACCATCTCCCCCTAGCTCCTCATTTGGCAGATGGGGAAGCGGAGGCCTAAAGAGGGCCTATGATTTGTTCACCGTGAGCCGTAGAATTGGGAGCAGAGCACAGAGTTTCTGCTCAAGGGCCGTTTATAATAAGGCAGTCATGGTTGCCGGAAGCCTTGTGTTAAGAAAGGTTCTGAGGCAGCACCCGGGACCAACAGGAAGGAGAGTCGTGCTCCATCAGCACCGTCCACCCTGGGCAGAGGAGGGGGTGGTGGTGGCGTGGGTGCGAATACTGCCCATCCAGTGGGGGACAGTGAGGTACAGTGGTTAAAAGCATGGAGCTTTAGAGTCTAGCTATAGGTGCCACTGCCACTTGCTCACTGGGTGACCCCGGGCATGTGGCTTCAGCTCTCTAAGCTTCCATCACTTCCTCCAGTAAGTGGGAGCTGTCACTGTGTGCCTGATGAGCACCTCTGGGGGCAGCCTCGGTGAGGAGGTGCATCTTAATGCTGGGGTGTCCCACATGAGCACCCTCAGCCCCTTCCGGAAGACCCAGGTGAGGAGAGGAAAGACACTGCATGAGTGGCAGGGAGAGCCTGGGCAGCCAACAATGGTGTGGCTTCCAGAGGCAAAGGGTACTTCAGCGAGACCTGTGGAAGAACTTCCAGGCTTCCTTCATTATGTACCAGGAGCATATATCTGGCATATACGAGAGGAGGAAGAGGAAACAGATGGGAGGTCAGAGAGAGGGGAGATCAGGGAGGCGTGAGTTTCAAGAAGGAGGGATACTGCAAGGAGCATGAGGGGAGGAAGCCGGCAGCGGGGGGAGGGTTAGGGGAAGAGGAAGCCGGGGTGGAGAGTGAGCCACTCCCTGGTCAGTGGGCCTGCGAGGGAGCCAACAGGGTGGTTGCTAAGGGGGGTGGGCGGTAGGGGACACATGGCCTGTTTTTCCACGGCCAGAGAAGCCAGCGGAGAGGAAAGAATGGACGCTGGGGGCTGGGGTTAGACCAAGCCAGAGGAGGAGGGGAAGAGCGAGGGATGAGCCCCTGAGAGTAAGCGCAGAGGGCACGTCTGGGGAAGGAGGTGGTGTGGAGCAGGCTAGTTCCCCGGACCCATGTGTTGCTCAACACCAGAGGCCGCCTTTCTCATGGACTCTTAGGTCAGGGCTGGGCATTAGAGGGCCGATGGCAGATCTGGGTTTGCAGCCTGCCTTCAGTGAGGACGAGTGTGGGACAATGGTGGCCTGGAACTCGACACCTGCTCTGGGAAGCAGAGCTAAAATAAAATCTCCTTCCTTGCCGGGTGGGTGCAGTGGCACATGCTTGTAATCCCAGAGATTTGGGAGGCCAAGACAGGAGGTTGCAAATTCAAAGTCAGCCTCAGCAAATGAGTGAGACCCTGTCTCAAAATTAAAAAAAAGGAACAAAAAGAATCGTGATGTAGCTCAGTGGAAAAGTGCCCCTGGGTTCCATTCCCAGCACCCTTTCCTTACGAAGAGCTTCTTCTCAACTGTTTCACTGAGCACTTTCAATCGTGGGCTCTGTCTTGCTCATTTAAACCTCACGTCTACATGAGAATGGTCCTTATACCCCCAGTTTACATAAGGGCAAACTGAGTCCCGGGAAGATTAAAGCAAAGCTCAGACTAACTAGCGGTCACACAGCCGGGGAGTGTTAGGGCTGGAATCCAGATCCACTCCTGTAGGATTCCAGAGCTTGTGCCCTTAACGGCTAGGCCATGAATGGGCCTAGAGGGAGTGGGCACCTGGGGTCACCTCCTCCACCCCCCTTTCTCCCCAGTGCCCTCCCGGAGCCTCCTGTTCTACGATGAGGGGGCCGGCTCCTGGGAGGATAGCCGCGCCCTGCTGCCCGTGGAGCCCCCAGAAGGCTGGGAGATCAAGCCAGGGGGGCCGGTGGAGCAGCGGCCCCAGGACCACCTGCAGCACAACCATCTGGACAGCACCCACGAGACCACCAAGTACCTGAGCGAGGCCTGGCCGGGGGACGTCAGTGGCAACGGCACCAGCCCCAACTTCTCCCACCCAAAGGAGTGGTTCCACGACAGGTAGGTGGGCGGCCCTTTCCCTGCCCGGTTCTGGGACCCACCTGCCCTCCGTCCACCTTAGCCGCACCCTCCCAGGGACCCACCCCCCCCTGGTCCAGATCCCGCTGGCGGAGGGTGGAGGGCTTCCTTCCAGACAGACGGACAGACAGATCACAGCTTCTCCTCTCTCCAGGGATCTGGGCCCCAACACCACCATCAAACTCTCCTAGGCCGACCCCAGAACCAGGACACAGGACGGACCCCCTGGCACCCAGAAGAGGAATTCTCTTGCTCACCAGCCCGGATCCAGCTCGCACCCCCGCCCATCCCAGGAGAAGGGGCTCCACCTCTCCTGGCGCTCTCCGGCCTCGCCTTGGCTGGGGCCTCTCTGCACCCCCTGACATTTGGACTACCCCCTTGGGCCAACCACTCTATTGTCACTTCTTCCTCACACAAACATCCGTCCTTCTCAGATAAACCACTCACTGGGCCACACCTCCTCCTCCTCCCACAAGACCACTGCCTCCCTGACCCCTGCCTCCCTGTCCCCTACACACACACTACAGACGCAGACCCCCCACGCCCCACCCCGCCTCCCACTGTACAGAGACCAAGAACAGAAATTGTTTGTAAATAATGAACCTTATTTTTTATTATTACCCGTCCCCTAAGATATTGTATTTTACAAATCTCCCTCCTCCCTTGTCCCTTCCCTTGTTTTATATTTTATGAAGTTAGTGCGGGCTTTGCTACTCCCTGGCCGGGGACAGAGGGACTCCCCCACCCTCCCCCGGCCTCCCCCGCCGCTGCCCAAGCCGCTGGGCCTTTTTAACTGCCAAATTGCTCTCCCCACCAGCTCAGCACATGCTTGAAGAAGGCAAAATTAAAAAAATAAAAAAAGATGCAGCATCAATTCCGGACTTTGTGCCTTTCTTCCTGGGGAAAGGGGAGCAGGACGGAGGGATGGGGGTGACAGGGTGTGTCATTTTATATTCAGGTGGGGAGGGGGGAAGAAGCCATTTCTATGGGGCTGCTTCTCCCAGACAGGCACCAATTCAGATGAAACAGTCAAAGAATTCCCTGCAATGCCCCTGCCTTGTTGCTGAGTATGAAAGTGGAGGGTCTGCAAGCCACCATCTTGGTCTTTGGCAACTCTAAGTATCAAGCGCCTGGCATGGGCCAAGGACTGTGCTTGGCACTCTGTGTGCTGAACCGAGCTCCATCCTCCTAAGATCTCCCCACTCTTAGCTCCTCTGCCTCAACTGGATTAAAGGCACCACAGGAGCTGGTATGGGGATGTGCACCTGTAGTCCCAGCTAGTCTGGAAGCTAGGGGGGGCAGGAGGATTACCTAGGAGTTCAAGGACACCCTGGGCAACAGAGCTATGTCAAGAAGAAGAAGAAAAGAAAAAAAACCCACCAGATTGGAAGCGCCACGTGCTAGCCCTGTGTGGTAGGCAGAATTCTATACGGTCTCAAAAGATTCCTGCTCCTGGGCACGTGATGGCGCACACCTGGAATCTCAGGGATTTGTGAGGCTAAAACAGGAGATTGGCAAGTTGGAAGCCAATCTTGGCCATTTAACAAGAAAAAGAAAAAGGAAAAATAAATGGCTGGGGATATAACTCAATGGTAAAGCACCCCTGGGTTCCCTCACCAGTACAAAAAAAAAAAAAAAAAAAAGATTCCTGCCCCCTGGTGTCCACAACGTGTTTAATTGCCTCCATCAGAGTATGGAGGGATGTGTGAATAATTAGATTGCCCTTTATGGCAAAAGTGAAAAGATTCTGCAGATGCAATGAAGGTTCCAAATCAACTGATTTTGAGTTCATCAAAAGGGAGATGCTCTTCGGTGGGCCTGGATTAGTCAGGTGAAAGCTGGAGGAACCGGGGCCCTTCCTGAACAGAGAAGGGCTCTCCCTGCAGGCATGAGGCAAACAGCCATACTGGGAAGAGGGGCAGCTTCCGGGACCTGAGTGCTAAGGCATCAAGGTCCTCAATTCTGCCAACAACCTGAACACGCTCAGGAGAGGTTCCCAAGCTCCAGATGGAATCATAGTCTAGTGACACCTGGGCTGCAGTCTTGTCATATCCAGGGCAGAGGACCCAGGTCACACTGCACAGGAGACTGACAAGCCACCCTGAGCCTCCGTTTCTCCCTTGGAAAAGGAGGACTTAACACCCATGCACGAGGCTGTGGGGTCGTCGAGGTAAGCTCCAGACAGTGCTTGGGACAGACAGGGCCCAGCCCATAGTGAGCTCCAAGCAACATAAGTGCACAGTTAGAGGCCATATTGACACAGAGTGCTAAGGGACAAGCCAGGGGTGCTATGAGGGTGCACAGGTAGGCACCTCACCCAGACATGAGCAGCAAAGGCTTCCTGGAGGGGGTGACCAGACACAGGGAAGGAAGTAGGCAGGAACGAGGAAAGGGGCACTCTAGAAAGAAGGGACGACCCGGGCCAGACTCGGAGGTGGGAGAGCAGGGAAAGTTCAAGGAATAAAAATAGCTCATAGCAGCTGGAAGGCAAAGGGCAGAGATGCTGAGGAGGCATCACAGAGAAGCAAGGGCATGGTGGCAGAATGGTCCCACAGCCGCCACCCACCAGGGGAGAAGCTAGGTGAGAACCTCAGGACTGGCCTTCAAGCCCAGCTTCCATGGCCTTCCTCCCCAAGGCCTTGGGGTGACCACCTCCAGTGATGGGGCCCTCACTGCCGGCTACTGAGCACAGTTTTAACTGCTAAAAAGCACAGGCTTCCATAGCAAGGCTGTTAAAGCCTGGGCTCTGGATCCCGAGCTATTAGTATTAAGTTATTAACCAATAACTTGTGTGTGTGTGTGTGTGTGTGTGTGTGTGTGTGTATGTGTGTTACTGGGGACTGAACCCAGAGGCTCTCCACCACTAAGCCACACTCTCAGCCCTTTATTGTTTATCTTGAGAGGGGATCTCACTAAGTTGCAGAGGCTGCCCTCCAATTTGCCATCCTCCTGCCTTAGCCTCCTGAGTCACTGGGATTATAGGCCACTCCTGGCTTAATAACTTTTAAGCTACATTCCCCAGTACTAGGAAGGAAGAAAGAGCAGGAGGAGGAGGAGGAGGAGGAGAAGGAAGGGGAGGGAGGAGAAGGAGAAGGGGAAATGCGATGATTCCAGAGGTGACCAGAAGGAATGTTACCGGGTTCTGACACCAAATTGGCTGTGGGGTGAAAGAGCAAGAATGATGACATTTCGGTGTCTGAGAACTGATTGGATGATGAGGACATTTTCCACGACAGGGAATACAGGAGGAAGAACAAGTTAGCACATCTGGCATTTGAGTTGCAGTGTGACACTCCCCACCAGCCTTCAAGTTCAAGGCTTGGGAGAAGGGGATCCCAGGCGGAGATGAGGAGATGGTCACCATGCAGGTGGTGTGCTAAAGACTGGGGTCTGCATAAAAGGAAGCAAGGTCAGAAAGCCGAGATGAGAGTCAGTAGGGATGGAGGGAGACTGAGAAGCTGGAACTGAGCGTCCAGAAGGTGATGGAGCAGACGGCTTCCTGGAGGGGTGGCCCCGGTCAGATGCCATGTGAGTGGGTGGGGAAGAGGAGAGAAGGGATAGTGGGGAGTGGCCTTGACTTTGGTAGGAGCTGTGTCAGGGAAGAGTTGGGGCAGGAGGGAGAGGAGCCAGGGGAAGAGGAGCACAGAAGTAAAGGAAGGGAGAAGCCGCTTAGGGGACTCAGCCACAAAGGAACAGAGGGCGGCAGCTGCAGGGCGAGATGGAGGGCAGCTCAGGACTGTTTTTCAGAAGGCCGAGCGTTGACCACGGTTATTTCCAGAAGACAAAGAGCCGACAGAGAGAATGATGAAGGTGTCACAAAGAGGGAGAAAGAAGGATGGGGGGTGGGGATCCAGGGAGCGGGCGGAAAGGTCCACTTGGACTGGAAGGCCTGGGCAGAAGGGGGGACATTTTGTGGGTACAGAATGTCAGGAGACAGGAAACAGGGAGTCCTCAAAAACTTCCATGTATGGGGTGGGGCAATAGGGAGGGACGACATGGGAGTTGGGGAGAAAGGGGACAGTTTGAAACGAGCACTTGGAAGAATGGCGGGGGAGATGGTGTGACCCCTCATAATTAATTCACTTGTTTAACAGTATTTTCTGGGTAACCCTCAGGTGCACTGGACTGTGCTAACATTGGAACTCAAACAAGACAGGGCGCCTGAGGTTAAAGGACTTGAAATCTGTCACTCTCCTATTTTTGACTAGTTGACATGTACCAGGCATTGAATGGAGAATTTACACATCCCAGATAGGAACCCAAATCCTCCTAAAGGGAGGGTATCTATCGTGCAGATATTAAGTCTCTCATGCTGGTATCTGAACCCCGTTCTGTTTGGTTTTAGAGTGCATGCTGCCCCCACCCCTCCCCTTAGCACCCCTCTCCATCTCCTCTATACTTTCCTCCCCTTCAGCTTTATATTACAGCACAAGATCCATGAGCAACTAATCCAGAGAGCCCATGCCAACGTGTGGTCATCCGGGATCCCCTCCCTCTGCCAGTCCGTCCCAGGCAGCCCTCCCAGCTTGTGTTGGGATGCAGGGTTAGTGCCCTCCCAAAAGCCACCCATTGATACACTGCCTCCCCAGGCATGCATTACAGCCTCTAAGGTTGTAATGTCCCCAGTGCATTCCAGCAAAGGAATTGCAGCCCCCTCACACTATTGTCAGTCCTGCAGCCTGCTTTGCCACATCACATGCGGTGGCTTTTACAGTGCCAGTCACCCCGCAGAGATTGCCATTACAAATCCTTTTTTATACCTGGACACCAAAGCTCTGAAAGCAGGGAAGTGGTGGGGTATGCCTGCAGCAGGGATGTACAGTGCAACCTCTGGATCCCAGAGGAGTAGTCAGCTTATTTGGGCACCTAATCAGACGTAGGTGCCCTTTGGGTCTTTCCCATAGGTGAAGGGGACAGGCTGGGATCTGAGCTATAAAGGCACCAGAGTTGCTTGGTCATCAGAGTGGCAGTTAAGGGAGGGGCTCTGAGGTCCCTGTTGCCACTTGTGCGTGGTCTCGGCAAGTATCTTACCTCTCCAAATCTCAGTGTTCTGTCTGTAAAATGGTCGCCACCCTCACAGAGCTGCTAGGAGGGTAGATGAAAGCTCGAATGGAGACATGAGCCCTTATTCTCTGAGCACAGGGATAATGAATGGGCTGGAGATCAGCCGTGGGCTGCAACTGGAAGAGATTGCAGAAGGTGGTGACGCTGGTTAAGGGAGGGGACCTGCATATTTCCTCTCTTCTTGGGAGGAGGGCAGAGCCACTGCCAAGAGATAATGCAGTCAGCAGCTGGTCCTAAGTGGGGAGGTGTGAGCATGGCGGAATGAAGTCTCACTTTAAAAAGGACTGAGTGGGGAGAGCTCTGCGGGGAAAGAACTAAACAAAAACCCAACCTGGAAACCCAGCAGCTAGGCAGCTGGTGAGTGAATGTCAAACCCAGCCAGAACTACCATAATTCATGGTGTAGGAGGCTACCATGGGCCAGGAAATGGGAGCCAAGAATGTAAGAAGCGCAGTCCCAAGGACAGCTGGGTGGGTGCTCTCAAGTGCCCAGCCCCCACCCAGACCCTTCACAGTAGGACATCTTTCAAACTTGGCTTGAGGGTGAAAATCCTCTGTGGCTAAGAAATTTAATTCAATCTTTTTCATCCAATAGAGGTTGCTGGACCAAGAGAAGGTGAGAGACAGCAGCCTGGTCCCTGCCCATTGGGAGCTCACAGATTAGAGGAAAGCAAACACTGCGGTGGTTGCTACTGTGCGGGCAGCAATATGGCAGAGTGGAAAAGGGCATTTGTTCGGATACCAGAGGACCTGGTTTTAAATCCTGGCCTCACCACTTGCTGCCTGAGCCATCTTGAACAAATAAATCTCTTGAATGACATTTTCTTGTCTTCCTCTGTGACATGGAGGAAATGATAATATCTACCACCCAGGGCTGCGGTGAGGATCAAATGAGACACAGCTATTGTTAGAGTGTGCAGGCATGACCGGCAGCATCTCTACTGGAATATTAGGGAGGGGTGCTTGGAGGAGGCGGCTCTGGAGGTGGCGGTGGAAGATGGACAGGCTTTCCACAGGCAGAACAGAGAAGGGGACATACTCCAAGCAAGGGAACAATCTGAGCAAAGGCACAGGAGAGTCAGGGAACCTCAGGGCAGCCCATTCTCCTTCTCCATGAGGCTGGTGCCTCTCACCTTCCCAGCTCTGTCAGTGGGGGAAAGGTGAGACACAGAATAGACTAATAGACATCTGGGGTAGAGGCCTGGAGCCTGGGAGGAAGCCATTCCACAGGAACTACCCAGGGAGTCTTTCTGGAAGAAAAAGAGGCCTTTAAAGGAGAATCAGAATATAAACTCCATGAACAGATTTCTGATGCAGGGCACAACCTGGACCATGCCTTACAGACCTAATGTTAGCTCCCACAATAAGAAGAACAGATGCATGGAAGGAAAAGAACGGATGCGAGTGGATGACAAGATGAGGAGACATAAGGCAGGTCTTGAATGCCAGGCTAGAGTACAGGCAAGGGGGAACCATTAAATATTGCATGGGGGGACAATACATGCTATGGTCAAAGGCTGATTTCAGAAAGATGAATCTGGGCCATGGATAGATCTGAGAAGTTAGACAGGGTGCCACCCCAGATGGTGAACCACTCAAGGACAAGAGGAGACCAGGGCAAGGGAAAAGGAAGAGCATGGGACTTGGCCTAGGAAAAAGGAAGAGCAAACCAAGATAGACCGCAAGGAGGCCTCTAGCCCTTCCCTCTGGCAGTGGCTTCTCCCCTCCTCCATCAGCTTCTTCTGCCCCAAGAACCTGATGCTACTTTCTGGGACACTCTGGATCTTCAGCCTGAAGGACTCCCAGCCAGGGACAAGCTGAGGGCTCCAGGTTTGGGAGCTATCGGCCTTGCACACATCTCCAGCTGGGTCCCTCTTCAGTCCTGGTGCAGAGAGCTCCAGGCCTAGATAAAGGGTGACCCGCAATCCGGTCCATCCCCAAATTCGAGGCGTCCCTGGGTATACTCCCCTTCTTTTGGCCCTTCCCCAAGTCCAAATGGATCTCTAAACTCCCGTGGTACAGACGGGGTTAAAGCTGGCTCGTGTCACGCCCCTGCCCCCCCTCCACCTGCCCGCCGCCGCAGCGAATGCAGAAGCCGGAAAACGCGGGACGGAGGGGGGGGGTGCATCACAGCGGCTGAGTGACGGGCAGGGAGATGATTGGCAGCTGCCGAGCAGCCGGTACCGGCTTGCGGGCGGGGACGCAGAGGTGGGCCCCGGCAGCGCCCTGCACCCGGGCCTCGCGCCCCGGCGAGGTTCGTGCCCGCGGCCGGCTAGGCCGGGCTCGCTCCCCCAGTGCCCTGAGCCGGGCTGGCGGGGCGGGGCGGCGCCCTCCCTCCAGACCCCACGGGGTGCGAGTGTCTCTAAGGTGACACTCCGGTGCGCGGCAGCGGCGGCGGGAGCACGCTCGCCGGCCGGGCTCCGGCTCCGCTCGCACCAGGCTCCCGCCGTCCGGGGGGCGCCCCGGCGCTCACGACTTGGCGCCCCGACCCCCTCCGAAGACTCCCCCCGGGGCGCGGGAGGATCCCCGCCGGCCTCTCCCAGGCGTACCGCCGCGCGGTTCCTGTCGTCTGAGCGCCGGCGTCGCGGGGGACGAGCGGGACCCTGCGCTTCCCTCGCTCCCCGCCCCGCGCCCCCGGCCCAGGCGGACCCGAGACTCTGAACTTTAGCAAGGAACCCGGCAAGGCCGCGGGAGCCTCGGGGAGGAGGCGGCCGCAGGATGGCCGAGGGCCCGGGCGGCGGAGGGCCGCGCGGGGACGGGGCCGCCGGCGGCCGGGCGGCGGCGGAGGAGGTGGTGCGGAGGCGCTGCAGGCGGGGGGAGGAGGCCGAGGTCTCGCAGCCCTGGCCCGAGGGCCCCCGGGGCATGGCCGCTGCGCCCCCGATGGAGGAGCGGTTCCGCCAGATGCACCTACGAAAGCAGGTGTCCTACAGGTAAGGAGGTGGGGGCCGAGGGAGCGCAGCGCTCGGGACCACCCCTCCTGGCACTCAAGCGAGCCCGCCGCTTGCCTGGCCCTGCTGAGGGAGCTGGGGATTCCGAAGGGGTGTCGCGACCACTTCTCTGCATGAACCGTGAAAGTCCTATTCATCTAACATGTAATCATTGAGCGCCAACTGCGTACCAAGCGCTGTGCCTCTGTGCCGAGAAAGATGGCACTGACATGACTCCTACAAACTTCTATCTGTTGGGGAGAGCAAGGAGATGCCTTTGGCCCTTCCTCTTGGGGATAAAGGACCCCTGTTGGTTCAGCGGGCCTTCCCTGAGCATGCCTGCGGGCTGCCTCTGTACTAGGCACTAGATGACAGAGGTGTGATGCTCTCAGTCACCAGGCTGAGCTCCTGCTGCTTAGAGATGGAGAAAGGAATCCCTGTCTGGCCCCTGCGATACAGCAGGCTGTCTCTGGTGTGAACACTAGCAAGGCGATGTCCCTGTGCCTAGGAAACATCTTAATTAAGTCATCTCTGCCGCCTAAAATTCCCAGCCTCCCTTGCCCTGCCCTCTCTGCCCAGAGGGAGAGCTGTTCCTCAGAACAAGGGTGATGCTGGGGTAGTGGGGCAAGGCAGCCAGGACTGTCCTTACCTTCCTGATGCCTTCCCAGATCACAGTCTCAACTTGGATTTGTTACCCCTCTAAAGCCCCTGCCACAGAATGAGCTCCTGTGGAGGGTTCAGCAGGCCAGCAGCCTGGTTGAAGAAGTCAAGTTTCCTGCTGTTGACAACCATGGAGGGTAGGGGCTGAGGTGTGTCTGAGGCTGCCCTGGCTCTCCCTGGGGCTTCTGGGATGATGTATCATAAAACTGACCCCGGGAGCTTAAAGGGCCCTGATGTTCTTAATGGTTATGAGACCATCAAGCTTCCATTACTTGGAGGAACCCGGAGAAGGGATTTTTCCACCATCATGAAGTGGGATGCTCAGAGCAAATGGGAAATGGGTTAGGTTCCCTTGGGCTCTACCTTCACTCTCGGGGAATCATGGGTATGCTGGGCTCCATTACCAGGCTCTTCCAGAACACCAAGCCGAGAGGTATATCATCCACCCTGTGACGGACTGAGCTAGAGAAGCCTCTGAAGGTCCCCCTAGAGGAGGAAGGAGTACAGAAAGACTGACAGGGCATGGGGTAGAGAACGCAGAATCCTTGAGGAAATATTAGTCTGACAGCCAGGAGACCTGGTTTGTATTCTCACTTGTGCCAGTGATTTGATGCACATCCTTAAACTGGACAGTATCTCTCTGGGCCTCAGTTCTTCACCTGTAACACAAGGAGATGACCCCAAGATTTTTCTTGGCTGTGGGTCAAATATTAACAGCCACTGAAGTTGGAAAGAAGTCCAGAGCAAGGGAAAGTCTTAGTGGGTAGGGACCAGAATTAAAGAGCTGACACGGAAGAAGTTCTGTGCATGAGAAAACACACACACACACACACACACACACACACATACACACATGGCTGTGATTCTCCCAGGTGGTTCCAGATAGAGGCTCCTCCACAGCCCAGACTTGGCGCCTCTAGTCACCAGGGATGCACAGTAACCAAGTTGTAGATTTTTCTCTGACTGTGAAGAGAACAAGAGGTCTCCAGGTCACCTGCACGAGGTTTTTTGCAGAAGACAGAGCCAGGACACATTGGGCAGGGTGCCCCCTCACACACGGGGGTCATGCTGCAAGCCCAGTCTTAGACCAGAGCTGGACAAGGCATCAAGGCAAGGAGAGCCCCCTGCAGAGAGGACAGAAGAAACCTTGGGAAATAGGTAGCAGCCCTGAGCCCTCCAAATCTTCCAGATCCCTAGGGACCCCAGGAACAAGCAGTGCCTTCAGGCTAATCCCTCCAGGTGGCTGCCGTCCTGAGAGGCCTGATGACCCAGGCTGCTGTTCCTTGCACAGGCCGCCCTGGGGCTGGCAGGCACTCAGGCCATGGTGGCCCTTTTCACATCCTCCGCCTGCCACAGTTCCATGTAGCTCTGGCTAGAAGCTAAACCTCCCACCCCGCTGTGAGGAGTTGCTAAGAAAAGCAGCTGAAAGCCCTTCACAGAGAGAAAAGGCTTTTAGGCAGAAATGCGGGGGCACAAAACTCTTGAGGGCCAGGGGCGGAAGTGGAAGCAGGATTGAGGCCTGGCTGCTTCTGACGCAAGTGAGGACCATGGGGGCTTTCAGCAGGACAGGAGAAGCTTGTAGGGGCGTGGGGGTTCCTGAGAAATAGGTTCCCTTTCCTCCCAGTGCCACTGTGGGCTGAAAGTAGCCCAG